TGTGTTTATATTTTGCAAGACTACTGCACTGGGGTCAATATTAAAAGTCAAACACATTATTACCAAAAATGTTGTCAACTTCAAAAATCCATGGTGCTGTTGGAACAATATTTGAGGTCTGCAAATGTCTAGATGCCACCAAGTTCCAGGTCACTACCCTCCCACAGGAACCATCACAGCCTCACCTCCTTGGGACCCCTCTGTGCCTCTTGCTGGTACTATTGTGACCTGGACATCCCTGACACTCAGGCCTGGGCTCCAGGCATCCCCAACACCTGGCCTCCCACTGCAGACCCCAAGATTCCTGCCCCCTCTCTGCCCATTTGTCTCCCCATGCCCACCTTCCCTCTCCAGGTGCTGGTCGGCTTGCGGCCTCACTCTTGTCCACCTGGGCCTGAGGACTCATGTTCCCCTCTCTTTGCCTTTTCCCTGTTACATGCCCATGTCTGGATCCTCCTTCTCCCTCACCCCTGAAAGAACTGGTCTCATTAAACCCTGAGGTTTATCCTCAGTTTCTCAAGGAAAGTCCCCAGAAGACCCAGGGATGAGGCAAGAGCTGGTGTTGGGAAACCAGATCTTGGTGGTTGGTCATGCCCAAGACCTGGGGAATAGCATGCATATGTGTGCTCGTCATCAGAACAAAACTGCACTTGATTTCAGGGGAAAGGGCTTGGCAATGGTAATGGTTAGAAGATCTGGAGCCCTCAATAGTGTCAGGACAAAGGAAGTTCTGGCCACACAATCATAATAATTTTTATCCCATGTTCCACAATTATCTGGTAAATGGATGGATGGATGGTGGATGAATGGATCGTTGGTGGATGGATAGCGGATAGAGGGATGGATAGTGGACAGATGAGTGGATGGATGGATGGATGGATGGCTGGATGGATGGATGGATGGATAATGGATGGATAATTGATGGATGATGGATGAATAGATGGGTAGATGGGTGATGGATGTATGGATGAGGGATAGATGAATGGATGAATGAATGGTGGATGGATGGATTGTGGATGTATGCATGATGGATGGTAGATACATGGATGGATGGATGGATGGATGGATGGATGGATGGATGGATGGATGGATAACGGATGAACGGATGAATGAATACCTATGAGGCAATGAGGTAAGGCACACATGGACACCTCTAAAGTAGGAGAGTCTAAATCCACGTGACCATCACTGTGAGCCCCATGTACATTTGCTCCATCCTCTGCTCTTGCTTATTCACCCCTTTCTTGCTCTGGATTGGGGGCATGTCCAATTCTGACAAGTGTCTGGTCCCTTTTGCAGTTGTCCTCTCAATGAGCCCATTAACAGTCCCTCCCCTTTAGGATGTTAGGGCCATGGCAGCTCCTGTGGAAATCTCACAGGACATTTCCCACCAGTGTCAGCTTCCTCTGCTGACCAGATGGGAGGGCAGAATCAAGTGGAGGGACACCTTGCTGTTGCCTCCCATATCTCCCTCAACCATCTGATCTCTCTCTCCCTATTTCATCCAACTTCACAGCCCATTTTCATTGAGCTATGGACACCTGCTCTGATATTAGCCATTTTAGAGACATCTGGGCTTAGTCCTTTCAATCTTGTTACAATTTTCTCCATAAAGCTCTTATTACAGACATCCTTTTTCCCCAGCTTTCAGGAAAATGGTATAGAAAGCACTGAGCAGGAACCATCGATATCACCAGGGTAAAATGGTGTCACCCCACCGCCCTTCAGCTTCATAATGAACTTCAAGGTCATTTGGAATTCAGAATGCACATCCTGGGGGGTGTTCCTCCCTCCCCTCCCACCCATGAGCTCCCCTATACCAACCCTGGGGTGCTGGGAACAGGCCTCACCACCCATCTGTGCTCTGGAGCCAGACAGCAGCCTGCCAGTTGATCATGCTATTAATGTGCCAGTTCTTCTAGCAGACTTCACACAATAAAGATGCTGGTCACGGCAATGAAATTAAGGGTGAGTCACCATCATGTACTGAGAACTAATTATGGTGTGGTTCCCTGGAAAACACTTTACATGCCTTATCTCATTCACACTTTGCAAAAGCTGAGTGCTATGGGTCCTTGAGGAAGGGGAGGCTTCATAGTTCTCTCATGAGCTAGAAGTTGAATAGATTGATAGGCACTGGGGATCTCTGAGCCCAGAGTGCAAGCTTTGGACTGGCTTCTGCTGAGACAAGGAACAGAGACTTCTTGTCTACAAGACAGGTGGGCAAATGGGTGAGGGCAGACTGCAGCCATTGTCATCCTGCTGTACCCAGTGGGGCCCGCTGTTGGGCTCACCTGGCAGCTCAATGCTGTAAGTGGGATGGGCAGGGAAAAGAGTTGGGATATTCCCCATAGCAGGCCAACAGCCTCTCCAGGATCCTGTTGGGCATGATCAGCAAGACGAGCATTACATGTCTTTAGAACAGGCCCAATGGGGCAATTCTGTGAGTCCCTGAATGAAAGGCCGAAAGCCCCATTCTTCAGGGGGAAGGGGAGCTAGTCAGGGCATTGACTGTTCCATTAGCTCGTTCCGTTCAGCCCACCACATGTGCTGGGTGTTGGTTTACACCGTCCTGGGCTCTGGAGACAAAGATAAATAAGATGGGATCCCCACCCAAACTTTCACAGTCTCCTTGAGTGGCAGATGGGCAAGCCTGGTCCAAGAGCAGTACCAGTCCTGCCATCTGCAGTCCACAGCCTCACCATGCTTAAGATGGGAGGACATTACCCAGGAGTGAGCTCCTGGCAGAGATGGGGGGAGGAAGAGTGTGCAAGATTCACTGGACAATCTCCTGACCATCCATTCTATGTGGCCACGTCGGCACTGCCTGGAAACATTGGTGGAGGAGATCCTGGGGGTCCACGTGCTTCAGAAGATCATGGCAGCAGAGTGTGTTGAGATGTGATGGCAGGGTCTGTGGGACTGAAACTATCCTTTTATTTTTTTTGAGCAAAGATGCTGCAGAACCTCAGGCAAGGGTCCTTGGTGTCTTGGGGTGGGACTGACAGGGAAGGGGCTGGGTCTAATGGACAAGCTGGTGGCAAATCCCTGGGTTGGAGGGAGGCAGGATGGACATTGAGAGAAGACTGAGGAGGGTGCCCTTTGGTTGAGAAGTGGGGGCTCATCCCCTGATGACTTTGGGATGCTTCCATCACCAGAAAAGAGCTCCAGGGTGGCTTCTGTTTTCCGGGAACCCACGTGGATGCAAACTATTTACAATGCCCTTTGTGGAATCATCACCTCAAAATTCAAAACCTGTAAGTAGCCACTGGCTCAGCTGTATGGAGGGCCTGGGCTTCCAGGGGGCAGCAGTTCTGCCACAATGTGCCAGGTGACCACCTAGACTGTGAACTTGGGTGAACTTTCATGTGATAGACTCAACTCCCGCTGTCCCCTGAAAACTTCACATCTCCACCATGGAGAGACAGTTTTCCCTCTACTGCTCAGAGCCATCAGTCATCCTGGCTGGTCCCCACATGCAGCTCATGTTCTTTCCACACCATGTCCAAGGACCAACTTTCTCCAGTTTTCCAGAGTCCGGGCATGCCTTTCCCTGACCACCCCTCTACCTGTAAGCCTGTCTCACTGAAGCTGGCCCCATGCCCAGGGACAGGATAATTATGCTTCCCCCACCTCACAGGATCCCCACCTTCAGGGGACACCACACCCTGTTGGTACAGTGCCCATCATCTCCCCTTATTCCATTCAGAGACCTGGTCAAGAAGTCTGGGGTTCAGGTCAGCTGCTCCCAAGCTCCCTGCAGCATTAAGAACCCGTGAAAACAAGCGTCCAGGAGCCTCGGCTGATGGCGGCGATCCTGAGGCCAGCAGAGAGACCCAGGGTGGACAGCCTCCCTGCCAGCCACCAGCCATCTCCACTCTGCACTACTGGGTGTCTGAGCCTGCATCCCTCCAGACCTCGCAGTTCCCTGCACTGGGGCTTCCTCCACCTCTGCTCTTCCTCTCTCAGACATTAGGACCCTCCCCAATCCCACGGACCATGAGGAGTCCAACACGGCTCTAACCCATGTCACCTCTAGGGTGGAGACCCATTATCAATGTGTGGTTCATCCTGGAGAGGGACCATGACATCAGCTACTTCAAGGACAAGATGAATAACCAGGACATGCAGATGATGAAGCTCTTCAATGGGGGTCTCCACAGGGCAGGAGTGTCCTTAGGGACAGTGGTATGGCCACACAGAGGGGGCTGCCCATGTCAGCTGGCACCTGTGGCAGCTGTGCTCAGGCTTTGGGCCAAACTGTGCTCTGTGCTTTGATCAGGGTCTGTGTGCGTGTGTGTTCATGTGTGTGTGTGTTCAGGTGTGTATGTAAGCCTACGCTGTCTGTCTCTTCACCACCACTGTGAGTCAACCCCTCTTGGTCACTCTGCACCCACCCAGATGATCCTTTTGACATCCTGGACTCCCAGGGCCCTGTCCTACTCCTTCCTTCACTTGACCCCTGCCATCCACCGCCCTGGCCTCACTCTACACATTTAAACATCTCCACCACGACCGACACCCACATTTATGGCCAGCCCATTTAAGCCAGTACCCACCGGTGTCTCTCCAGCCCACTCGCTGCGAGTTCCCTCTCCTGATGAGTCCTCAGCCCACTGGGGCTCCGTCTGCCAACCTTGCTCCACGTTCGCTTTCCTTCCCCTACGTCACCTCCTTTCTTCCTCTGCACACACTGAGCTCCAGGACATCCCCACACTCCTGTCCTGCAGCTCTGCCCTGTTCCTTCCATGGTCCTGGCCAGGTGAAATCCACCCTGGGAGCCCAACTCTGTGCCTTCTCTGCACCTGCCCCAGCTGGGAGAGGGGCAGAGGGTGGTGCAGAGCAAGGGCTGGTCCCACCTGCACATCATGACTGCAGACCACAAGGCCCCTTGGTGCGGCCCACTCCTCCCCGCTCTAGGTGCATTTCACATGTCCCTTCTCTCCTCACCATCCACCCCTGCCTCCCTGTGCAGGACAAACCTTCACCCCAAACAAGGCTCAGTGCATGGATTGTGCACACTGAGGTGTACACGGCTCGGTGGGGCAGGATGTGGGTGTGATGTGCACATGGCCAGCGAGGAGGAGCCTGAGGTTCAGCTTCTGAGACCCAGATTCCCCCAGGTAGAGGCCAGGCCCAGGATGCTGGGAGGGGCAGACACCCTGGAGGAGACAAAGGCCGCACCAAGGGACTGTACCCTCTCCAGGATGAATGTCTTGGGAAGGGGGGTTCAGGCTCTAATGGGCCGGGCTGGGAAGATGGGGCTCCACTCAGGAGGGGCTGGGGGCTGATTCAGGGGGGAGGGGAGGAGAGTAGAAGGTCGCTGACACCTAGAGGCCGGGCACTGACAGCCTGAGCCCCTTCCTCTTGGTGTGGTCCCCCCCACAAACCAGCAAATGCCGGGATGTCCCTCATGGAGGGGCTGTGGCAGGGCAGACAGAGCACCCCTGAGCCTAGGGAGTTCCACACCATCCCATCCACAGAGGGCAATTCTCTGCTCTCCAGAACCAAGGGGGCCACCTTTCCTATGGAGACTTCAGATAAATGAACCACCCCAGGGGTCTCAGCCACGCAGGTGGCTTCTTGGCTCAGGCGGCTCCTGTCCCAAATAGAAAAAAGTACAATGAAGAGTATAGAAAGGACCCATAATCCCACCACTATATCCACCTCCCCTAACTACCTGGTCTGGTCCTTTGTGTTTGAGTGGGGCTCAAACTGGGAAATTTGTTTTTGACTTTTCATGGCATTTCCATCGCCCTCCTGTCTCTCCAACGTCCTCGCTGGAAGGACTAACCAGCTAGAGATCACCTGGTTAGTTAACCTCCTGTATTTATAGAGGGGCAGGAACTGAGATGGGGAAGGAAGGAGGGGCCCCAGGCCTTTGATCCTTACTCCTGCACCTCAGCATCAGCTCTGCTCTGTCCCCTCACTGTCACCTGGAGAATGTGTCTTGACTGGATCCCCATCCTGCTCCTCCCTCCGCCACAGGCCATCGTCCACCAGCTCCCCAGCCCGAAGAGTTAAGAATGGCAAGAACAGGGGCCGGTCCCGTGGCTTAGTGGTTAAGTGCTCGCGCTCCGCTACCGGCGGCCCCGGGTTAGGATTCCGGGCGCACACCGACGCACCGCTTCTCTGACCATGCTGAGGCCGCGTCCCACATACAGCAACTAGAAGGATGTGCAACTATGACATACAACTATCTACTGGGGCTTTGGGGAAGAAAAAAAAAAAATTATCTCACTGAGTAAGAGAGAGGTTCCAAAAGTAACCCATTTTACGAGTGAAGAAACTGAAGCACAGAGAGTTAATCACTTGGCCAGGGTCTCTGAGGTAGGAAGAGGTTAGATCCACGATATGAACCTACACCCATAATTCTGGAGTCTTGCACTAACCACTATGCCTTGGGACTAATCGGTAAAAAAGTTTATAAACATGTGATTGGATTTGCAATTTGGAGCATAGCATACGTACTAGAAAGTATGGAAATCGTACTAACATAGCTCCATGAATTATCCAAAGGAAACACACCTGGCAACTGGTACTCACAAGAAATAGAACATGACTAACCTTCCAATGGCCCCCTGATGCACCATCCCAGGTCACTGCCCTCTCTCCCCCAAGGGGAACCAGTTTTTAACTTCTGAATTTGTTTTTTCTTGTCTTTGAACCGTATTTAAATGAAATCATACACAGTGTCTTCTTTTATGTCTGGCTTCTTTCATAAATAGTCTTGAATGTGGGTGTAGTTAATTTTTATAGTATTTTATAGTATTCCACTACAAAACATATAACCCATTTTCTTTATCCATTCCACTACTGATGCACTTTGGGTTGTTTCCAATTTGATGATATGCCAAAAAGTGCTGCTCTGAATCTTCTTGTACAAGTCTCTTGGTGAACATATGAACACATCTATGTTGGGCATAAACTTAAGAGTAGAATTGTTGGGTCGTAGAGAATGTGCATGTCCATCTCCAGGAGATACTACCAAAGAGTTTTCAAAGTTTCCCCTCACAGGCGTGTATGAGAGGTCCAGTTGCCCCACATCCTCACCAACACTTGGTGTTGTCAGGGCTTTGATTTTAACCACTGTGGTGTATGTGTAATGGTATCTCATTGTGGTTTTAATTTGCATTTTCCTCCTAAGGAATGATGTGGAGCAACTATTCATCTACTTATTCCCATTTGGTTATTTTTTTTGTGAAGTGCCTAGTCAAATCTTCTGCCCATTTTTTTCTGGTGGATTGTCTGTAGTATTTTTATAAATTTATAAGAGTTAGTTACATATCCTAAATAAGAGTATTTTGTCAGATAAATGAGCTGCAAATGTTTATCCCTTCTATGCCTGCCTTGTTTACTCCCTTAAAAGTTTATTTTGACAAAAATAAGTTCTTATTTTTAATAATTTCCAATTTATCTCTTTATTCCTTACGATTAGTACACTTTTTGTTCTATGAAATCTTTGCCTGCCCCAAGATCTTGAAAATGTTCTCCTATTATACCTACTAGAGAAGTTATTGTAAAAACTCCCACTTTTATATTTAAAATCCACCTGTAATTGATTTTTGTTGGTGCAGGTATTATGGAAAACAGTATAGAGTTCACTCATAAAATTAAAAATGGAACTCTCATATGATGAAGCCATCCCACTACTGGGTATATTTACGAAGAAAATGAAATCAGTGTCTTGAAGTGAGATCCCCACTCCTGTGTTTACTGCAGCATTAGTCACAATAGCCAAGACGTGGAAACAGCCTAAGTGTCTGTTGACAGACGAATGGATTAAAAAAGTGGTATATATATGTTGAATGTTATTCGGCTTTAAAAATGATGAAATCCTGTCTTTTCCGACAACATGGATGAACCTGGAGGACATTATGCTAAGTAAAATAAGCCAGACACAGAAAGACAATTACTGCATGATCTTACTTATATGTGGAATCTAAAAAAGTCGGATTCATGGAAACAGAGAGTGGAATGGTGGTTACCAGGGACAAGGGAGGGGAGTGGAGGGGAGGAGATGTTGGTCAAAGGGTACAAACTTTCAGTTATAAGATAAATAAGTTCTGAAGACCTAATATAAAACAAGGTGACTATAGTTAATAATAATGTATTATATACTTTAAATTTGCTAGGAAGATTGATCTTAAGTGTTCTCAGTAAAATAACAAACAAACAAACACAACAGAAAAAATGGGGGTAGCTACATGATGATGGAAATGTTCACTAGCTTGATTTTGGTAATTGTTTCATAATGAATATGTACATCAAATCATCCCATTGTATACCTTCAATATATACAATTTCTATTTGTTAATCATACCTCAATACAGCTGGAAAAATATTTGTGCTGACTTCAGAAAATGCTTAGGAAATAATGTTAATGAGGAAAACAAGATATGAAAGCACGTATACAGCAGGAGCTAAAGAGCCTGGGAGAAAACTTGCCAAAATGTTACCTGCAGGCAGGGACTGGCAGTGATTACTAATTTCTTCCTTATACCTTTATCACTTTCTGACTTTTTTAAAGCACATTCACTCTACCAAGAGAAAACCAGCAGCATTTGTGAGTGACAAAATAAGACGGAGAGAAGAGAGAATGCACCCCCAGCCTGACCGGCCCCCAGGTGGGCTGGAGGGAGAAGACCGGGCAGTGCAGGTAGCACTGACCCTACTTGGCCCAGGGTCTCCTTCCTCAGAGTCTTCCGGGTGGCCACCCACCCCACCAGTGGTGGCTGCAGAGCTCTTGCTGCAGGTAACACCCCTCAGGGTGAAGGACAGTTGGGCAGTGGCCTCTGATTGACCAGCAGGACCCGGTTTGTGATCTTGGTCAAGGTGGGCAGGACCTAGGTGGGGCAGGGGCTCAGTTGGAGAGGGGCAGTAGGAGGCTGGACAGGGGCTGGGAGAGGTGCAGCCCAGGGCCTAGAGCTCAGCAAAACAGGGGCCTGGGATGGGGTCCCAGCAGAGATTGGGCCAACAGGCAGGCTGGGTCTGAGAGATGCTGAGAAGCCCACAGGGGTCAGTGGGGCTCAGGGAAGCTGCCCGGTGCTGACTGTGATGAGTGTCTCCCTCAAGGCTTACCCAGGGACCCTGACCCTGTGACCTTCAACCCAATTCCAAGGCCACGGGGATCCTTTCTTAGAGAAGGTGAAAGGACCAGAGCACTCTGGGGCTCTAAGTGTTTCAATGTTTTTATTAATTTGCTCCAAGTACAGAGTCCTCATATTCCCAGGGACCAGCCACATGTGCTGGTAGGAGCACCTTGTTTATCTCCAGTGACCAAGTGAGGCCAGAGCTAGAATGTCCTTCCCCAGTCCTCCCAGTGGTTCTCACCTGGGCACCCTGGGCGTGGGGTGGGGGTGGTGACAATTCTTCAGTCTGTGGCATGTTCTGCTCCCTTAAATGACAGTGGTCTCCCCCGTTCACTGGCACAGCCCAAAGAGCCTCCACAAATTTCCCAAAGCCCCAGAGAGACAGCACCGCCCCGGGGACAGGGGTGAGGACATGGCCAAGCTCATCAGGTAGAAACTCCAGGAACACTGTTCCTGACCCTGAGTTCCATGTCAGCTGTACCTACTAGCTGGGGGCCCACTAGTGACACTTCCTTCCCCTCCAATTCCCAGACATGACATGAGGACAATGCTGCTCCCAGGGTGGGGATTCTGTGAAGTTAAATGAGATCAGCGCACGTGGAGCGGGCAGCCCAGCCTAGTTGTCACGGTGAGTAGAATCAACACAGGGAAGGCATTGTGGGGGATCAGAATTGGCCACCTCAAAATATGTCTTTTTTACCTTGATTATTTTCTCTGAAAGAGACTTTGACCTCCTCCCCCCTCCTCCTCCCCACTAACTGCCTAAAAGAATTTAACTCTGGGTATGATAGACTGGGAGGGTCCTCGCTAAGCCCATTCTTATCAAAGCTCTGAAAACCAAGTAAAAGTAGAAGTTACCCTTTGTAAGAAATATTTACACTTATAAGGGAAATCTCCATTTGTAAAGGTATCTCCCTCTCTGTACCAGGAAGAAGGGGGGATGACCTTATCTCTAGAAACTCTTATCAGTACGGAAGGCAAGGCCTTAAATCTGCCTTCTCTTGTTTACTGTGCTTTCTGGTAATCTCCCATAACTGACTCCCCCTACCCCCAACATCCTCCTTTGTCTTTACCTGAATATGCTATTTAAAGATGAACCTCTGCCATTTGTCGAGTTACCCGGCTTTGCCTGGGTCTCTCCCATGTATACAAGTTATAAATCTTTGTATGATTTTCTCCTGTTTTTCGGTCTCATGTCTATTTAATTTGTAGCCCAGCCAGAAAGGACCCAGAGTGGGTAGAGGATAAGTCTTCCTCCCCTTCAGCATACATAGAGACATGAGTTGACCCTGCTCCTCTGACCCTCCTGAGGATAAAATGTGATAAAATTCAGGTCTTCCTCCACTTATCTAAAATAGGGCACCCACCCTGAGCCCCTGTTGTGTCCTCCCCACAGCCCTGTGAGCTCTTTTATCCCCATTCATGGACCAGGGAGTTCTGGGCTCATGGCGGAGCTATTTCTGGAGCTTTCCCATCTGGGTGGTAGATGGGAGGTCCCTGCTCCCTCCTGCTCTGCTCTTGATCCAGGACACCAGGGGCAGCCCTGAGCTGGACCATCTGTGATTCTGAGGCTGTGCTCCTTCACCTGGCTGGGCTAACATGGGGACCTGCATCTGGCAAGCTCAGCCATCTGCACACGGTCAGGTATCCCATGCCAGCACAACGCCAGTGCAGCCAGTGCCATTTTCCGCTTCCCACCTCAGCGGCCCCTGGGCACCGCCATCTAGCGTGACCCTTGACCCCTCACCCCAGGAGAAGAGCCCACTGCCATGTTTCCTACTGGCTGAAGGCAAAGGCGCTGAGGGCAGCCAATGGCTCAGGGAAGCCTGAGGATATACCCTGTCGGGGTTGAGCATCTCTGGGCTCTGGCTGGGGTGGCAGGTGGTGCAGGAGAGAAATGGGGTTCCTGGGCCAGGCTGCTGAGAGGCGGGGTAAGCGGG